ACTGATGAACCAAATTAGATAAGTCACTGATGAACCAAATGAGACAAGTCACTGATTAACCAAATGGACTGAGTCACTGATGAACCGAATGGACTGAGTCACTGATGAACCAAATGGAATGAGTCACTGATGAATCAAATGAGACAAGTCACTGATGAACCAAATGGACTGAGTCACTGATGAACCAAATGGGACGAGTCATCAATGAACGAAATGAACTGAGTCACTGATGAACCAAATAGAATGAGTCACTGATGAACCAAATAGAATGAGTCACTGATGAACCAAATAGACTGAGTGACTGATTAACCAAATGGGACGAGTCATCGTTGAACGAAATGGACTGAGTCACTGATGAACCAAATAGAATGAGTCACTGATGAACCAAATAGACTGAGTCACTGATTAACCAAATGGGATGAGTCACTGATTAACCAAATGAAATGAGTCACTGATGAATCAAATGGACTGAGTCACTGATGAACCAAATGGACTGAGTCACTGATGAACCAAATGGACTGAGTCACTTATAAACCAAATGGACTGAGTCACTGATGAACCAAATGGACCGAGTCACTGATAAACCAAATGAGACAAGTCACTGATGAACCAAATGGACTATGTCACTGATGAATCAAATGGACTGAGTCACTGATGAACCAAATGGAATGAGTCACTGGTGAACCAAATGAGACAAGTCACTGATGAACCAAATGGACTGAGTCACTGATGAACCAAATGGGACGAGTCATCGATGAACGAAATGAACTGAGTCACTGATGAACCAAATAGAATAGAATGAGTCACTGATGAACCAAATGAGACAAGTCACTGATGAACCAAATGGACTGAGTCACTGATGAACCAAATGGGACGAGTCATCGATGAACGAAATGAACTGAGTCACTGATGAACCAAATAGAATGAGTCACTGATGAACCAAATAGACTGAGTGACAGATTAACCAAATGGGACGAGTCAACGTTGAACGAAATGGACTGAGTCACTGATGAACCAAATAGAATGAGTCACTGATGAACCAAATAGACTGAGTCACTGATTAACCAAATGGGATGTGTCACTGATTAACCAAATGAAATGAGTCACTGATGAGCCAAATGGAATGAGGCACTGATGAACCAATTGAAATGAGTCATTGATGAACCAAATGGACTGAGTCACTGATGAACCAATTGAAATGAGTTATTGATGAACCAAATGGACCGAGTCACTGATGAACCAAATGGAATGAGTCACTGATGAACCAATTGAAATGAGTCACTGATGAACCAATTGAAGTGAGTCACCGATGAACCAATTAGAATGAGTCATTGATGAACTAATTGGAATGAGTCACTGATGAGCCAAATAGAATGAGTCACTGATGAACCAATTGAAATGAGTCACTGATGAACCAATTGGAATGAGTCACTGATGAACCAATTGGAATGAGTCACTGATGAACCAATTGGAATGAGTCAATGATGAACCAAATGGAATGAGTCACTGATGGTCCAATTGGAATGAGTCAATGATGAACCAAATGGAATGAACCAATATTATGTATTATTTTAACTAATGTATTAGAAGCTGCATTCGAAAACAAAGTCACAACCATTCTTTTTGATTAATTGAGAACCAAAAATTCATTTCTCATAATGTGTCGCACAGTACCATTTAATTTATAATACTGACAACTAAAGAATGTTGACTTGTTCTGAGTTCTGAGAAAGATCAAGAGCTAAACCATACTCCTACCCATAATATATATTGCTAGCTTTGTTATAATTGTTATATTAGTGAACCAATAAATTGCTGGTACCAACACATGTTGTTTCCAAAGCTACAAAAAGTATCAGTCATTCATTCAAAACCATGATGGCCATATATATATTTAAATATCATGCATACTTCATGACACAGAAAAAAGTTACACTGCAAATTAATAATCCAAAAAATATTACATTGATGAACAGTGAACTAATAATTATTGGCAATAATATTTTTATTGTATTTTTTTTTTTTGAGCAGAAACAAAAAAAATTTTTTATTTCTCGTCAATGAGAATTAACCTCAAGGTGGATTGATATCATCTGAATATGGTCATTTACTAACAAGTAGATTTATTGATGGAAGAAAATGATAAATTTAAAAGGAATAATATCTTAACAAAATTAGGTGGTCCAACTAATAGAGGAAGTCCAAAATATTAGAAGGGGGACTAGTACAATGATTATGGTAGTTTTCATATCCACCCCCAGCAAGTATAAAATAATGGTCATGTCCAGTTATATACTCACCATCTTCTTAAATCAAGCACTTTTCTTTCTGCAATTGTCTTCTGCGTAGCATTCACCACCGGTGGGTCGTATCGTTCTATGGTTAACGGCTCATTCTGAGTTTTACGCAGTTTACGAAGACCTGAGAGTAGTTAAATACAGGAGTTTCTAATTATTCGAGAATGAATCTTGTATGTATATTGTCCTTACATAATACCCCCATTCTCAATTCACAACTACATGTAAGTATGGCGTATAGAATATACAATTCACCAGTGAATGCAAACACATTTTTTATTTCATCGCATAGCTCTTACTAAAAATAGAACCATTTGAGACAGATCAAATGCAGACAACCTGTACATTATTACTTTATTGTGGCTTTTTAGTGAATAACTGTTGTTAATCCTAAAGAAAAAAGTAATTGCATTAGTCCATGTGAGTTATCAGTATAAAGTTTAAACATGAACAGTTATATGTCAGAGATAATGGCTCTAGAACAGCATCCATTAAAACAAAATGACGTGCATCAAGGTCTCACAGGAAATGTCCAATGAATGTACAAAGTTTGAATAAAATCCATTCGGACAAGGCCGAGATCCATTTTTTGAATGGCAGAAATGCTTATTTTTGAAGAATTTTCAACATTAAAATGGTTACCATTTGGGCAAATTAAAATTGATCATCAAACAAAAACATTTGCATATGTGCAACATGATGTATTACGCATATATATTTATATGCAAGTTTGAACATGATAGGTTCAAGGTATGTCAGAGATGGCCACCAGTCAGCCATTCAGAGTCAAATTTGATAGACAAAATTTAGTGCATTATTGTCTGATGTACATACCAAGGACGAAAATGTGCTCATACAACCAAAATATTTTTTTTAGCACAAAATGGTCACCACTGAATTAGCCATCTTGAATCAGATCATGAAACTATTGGACATGACACATTCACACACACAGAAGTCAATCTATGAGACCCTGCTATGTCCAGGTCAGGAATAATGAATTACTGAACAAGAGTAACAAGAACAACTGTAACAGTTT